TGTGACAATTAAATGAGTGATTTTCATGGTAACGGAGCTTGGAGCAGTGCCTTTATATAAGTGTTATAAAAGTCTTTGTTGTTATTGTTGTTGTTGTTATTACTGGTGTTACCATTTGGGAAAAATTACCTAAATACTTTAAAAACAATAATTAAAAATTTAACTGGGGCTTCCCTGGTGGCACGGTGGTTGAGAGTCCGCCTGCCGATGCAGGGGACACGGGTTCGTGCCCCAGTCGGGATGATCCCACATGCCGCGGAGCGGCTGGGACCGTGAGCCATGGCCGCTGAGCCTGCGCATCCGGGGCCTGTGCTCCGCAACGGGAGAGGCCACAGCAGTGAGAGGCCTGCGTAAAAAAAAAAAAAAAAAAAAAAATTTAACTGACATTAAATTGTACATTGATTTTGTACATGCTACTTTACATAGAACATATTTACATAACTGAAGTATATATGCATTGACTCACTCTTATAGTGTTGGTTATTTATAGAAATATTTGAAAAGTTTGCTCTCAGACTTATTTTTCTTCCTTTTCTATGTATTGTCTCTGTTTTCTGGCTGCTTTCTCAGATTTTTCTCTTTCTGAATGGTTTTAAACAATCTGATTCTGATTTGCCTTGGATTTTTGCTTTTTATTTTATGTTTCTTGAGCTTGGGTCCGTTGGTCTTCTTGGATCTGTAGGTTTATAGTTTCTATCAAATCGAGAAAATTTTGGTCAAGATTTCTTCAAATATATTTGTCTTTCTCCCCAGCCCCTCTCCCCCATCTCACCTCTACTGTGAGGACTCCAATTATACATGCATTTTGATGTTTAAAGTCATCCCATAGTTCACAGATGCTCTGTTGATTTACCTTATAGATTTTTCCTCCTCTGTTTTGTTTTGTACAGTTTCTCTTGCCAGGTCTTTAAGTTTACTTACCTTTTCTTCTGTGGTGTCTCACCCACTATTAATCCCATCCAGTGTTTGTTTTTTTTTAATCACAGACATTTTTTATCTCCTCAGTAGGACCCAGACATGTTGTCTAAGTCTTTTTTATAGCTTCCATACCTCCAGTTAACATAGCCAACCTTTCTTCTAGATTCTTTTTTTTTTTAATTAATTAATTTATTTATTTTTGGCTGTCTCGGGTCTTAGTTGCTGCACACGGGTGGGGGCTCCTCTTTGTTGTGGTGTGCAGGCTTCTCATTGCGGTGGCTTCTCTTGTTACAGAGCACAGGCTCTAGGCATACGGGCTTCAGTAGTTGCAGCATGTGGGCTCAGTAGTTGTGACTTGAGCACAGGCTCAGTAGTTGTAGCGAACGGGGCTTAGTTGTTCTGCAGCATGTTGTATCCTCCCCGACCAGGGATTGAACCCATGTCCCCTGTACTGGCAGGTGGACTCTCAACCACTGTGCCACCAGTGAGGCCCTCTTCTAGGTTCTTGAACATAAGAAATTTTCTTATAACAAGTTTAATGCTTTTGTCTACTAATTTCATCATCTGTGTTATTTCTGGATTAGTTTCTATTGATTGTTTTTTCTTTTCATTATGAGTTGAATTTTCTTGCTTCTTTTTGCTTAGATGCTAGACTTTGTACATTTTATCTTGTTGGGTGCTGAATATTTTTATATTCCTAAAAATATTCTTGAGCTTTGCTCTGGCACGTGGTTACGTTACTCAGAAATAATTTCTCTCTTCAGGTTTTGCTTTTAAGCTTTGTTGCTCTGGACTAAAAGAGCTTTTAGTCTACGTTACTTTAGCTCCACTCCTGAGACAAGACCCTTCTGAATTCTCTAAGGAACACTTCATGAATTACGAGGTTTTCTACCCTGGCTTTTGGGAACAGGCACTGTGCCCAGGTGTCTAAGCTCTGAGCGCTGTTCTCTCTAATTTCTTCTTGTCCTTGGGTAGTTTCCCCAGTCTTATGTGCTGCTGAGGATTCAGCTGAATGCTGGAGGGAGACCTCTGACAGGTCTCAGGAGTTCCGTTTGTGTGCAACTCACTCCTCTCCAAAACTCTCCCCCGGGAACTTGAATCGCTATGGCTTTCCCTCACTCTCACCTCCCTGTCCTTGACTCAGGGGGCCTCATGGCTCTGCCTGGGGTAACCTTAGGGGTCACTCTGCTTGTCTCCCATCTCTCACTGTCATTCATTTCCTCATGCCCAATGTCTTAAGAGTCACTTTCCCCACATACTTGTCCAGTTTTTTAGTTGTTTCAAGTGGGAGGGTTACTTCTCCCTGTTACTCTATCTTGGCCAGAAGTGGATATCACCCTGCTCTAGGCTCTACCTTAAATTAAAAAAAAAAAAATTAAAAAAAGAATAAAAACAAATAGCCCTTGTCCACCCACTCCCGGTCTGAAATTCCAGAGGCAGCCACATTCAACTCTCGTTACACGTTCTCCTGGTGTCCCTCTAGATTTTGTACCTCTCACTGCCCCTCTGTTCAGAGAGGCCTCCTCTTACCACAGTCTAAAACAGCACCCTTGTCTAGCTCTGTCTCATCATTCTGCTGTATTCTTCACTGCACTTTTTGTGTTTCAACTTTACCATATTTGTTTATATGTTTATGATTGGCCTTCCTCCCTAGAAAGGATGTGTGCTCCATGAAGACATGAAGACTGGGCTCTTCTCTGTTTTCTTCTCTGCTGAATCCTCAGAGCCTAGAACAACTCCTGGGCACATTGTAGTCCCTTAGTAAATATCTGTTAAATAATTAAATGAATGAATGCCAGATACTGTGCTGCGTGTTTTCCAAACATCATCCTTTGGTACCCCCACCTTAGAGGTAGATAACAAGTACTAGGAGCTTGCCAGGAAAGCCAAGAAAGAAGAGAGTTTTCCTGGCAGCCGGGAAAACACTTATCAGAAACTATTACAAAAAAAAGTCTGGTATGGAATTTGGGAACATAAGATTCATTAAACTGACTCCATTTCTTGCTTCATTCATATTGTCATGGAAATTCTGATTAAGCAACTTCCTTTCCAAGGTGTTTTCCCAGAATTTAAAAGAAAAAAGCCTTAACAGTATTAGGTATATTGTGCATTTTAAAAATGGCAACATAATAAAAATATTAGAATTAAAATTTATCACATACTTTTCCCTATGTGTGCACGTGTGCGTATTTATAATACTTCCCCCCACCCCCGCGCCCAAAGTGAATTTAGCGATTGTGAAAAGTAACTGTGGACCTTGGTAATGGAGCCATCTGGTCGATAGAAGGGATGACATTCCATGAGACAGCTGCTGTGTAATGTGTCTTATCCGTGGCTTTCAGGAGGGGGCACCTGAGGGGCAACCTAGTAGGTTGAACCTTACTGAGTCTTCAACTTTCTCCTCCTTCTGTGGATTCTTCAGCAGACGTGCCAATTAAAGTGATGGTTTTTGTGATGAAGCCTCAAGTAACTGGACTCAAAACGTAACTTCATTTTATTTCACATAGCTCAGCAGTTGGAAACTACTTTCATTGCTCCCACATTGTCCTGATTTAAATCTGGGACCTGACACTAAAAAGGGGGCTCTGTATGCTATTAAACAAGCCCCCAAGTTGAAGCTGTGCTTCTTTTGTTGGTGTTTCTCAGGGTGCTTTCCTCATTGTATTCCTGGCTTTGAATGGTCTTTGCAGAAGAATAATTTTCTTTAGTGAACTAGTAAACAAAATTTTTTTCTAAAAAATAATGTACGTATATCCGAGAGTTTGAAGCATATGCATATGTTTTTAGAAGAAAATATTTTCACTAATTCACCAAAGAAAAGTATTTTTCAGGGGGATTTCTTGGGGGAAAAAAACAGTTGATTAAATTGATAGAAATTTACCACTTTAATAAAAGCAGGTTTCTTAAACTGAGTCATGGAACAGAAGATTTTGTTTCTAATTGGAAGGAGTGCAAAAATATGAACACATTTTATGTTTGATGATATAGTTTCTGGCTTTCCAAAAAAGTCACATTTACATATAAGGTAGAAATATAGAGCCATAGAGATCTATTTTCATAATGAAGGTGTGTGACCTCATATCTCATATTCTAACTTTAAGTAGCTCTTTTTAGGGCTAAAGTAAGCCTGCTTTTAACACTCTTCAGTGTCACATGACCTCAACTTTAGTTTCGTTTTCTTCAGAAGGGCAATTGAAATGGGAACCCAGGCTTACTAAGTCATGGAACAATTCCACTTTATCTTGGTGATGACAAACTCTCGCTCAGCAAAGCAGGAGTCAAAGACAAACACTAGGAAATAACAGAGCACCTTCTCTTCTGCTCCTGTCAAGCAGCCTTCCCCCACCCACTTTAACATCGTGTTCTCATGAGCATTTCATAATATTCCTCATCCCTTGTTCCCCGTCTTGACCCACTGACCTAAGAATCAAGAAAGTGTCATGTTAGTGCCTACTAATTAGTGCACCCAGAGAGCCTTTTCCTCTGGCCTTTCAACCTCCTGGAGGTGGGAGCACAAGCTGTCACTCGTATCACGCAGGGAAAATGAACCTTTACTACATTTTCCCTGTTTTGCAAACAGCAGAATTAGCCAGCTGAGGCGAGATGAATATGCAGGTTAGGAAGAAATTAACCTAAAAGGCACTACTGTTTGCATTATTGTCTTAGAGATGACACAGCACTGCCCGCATTGAAATACCCATAACGCAATGCTGTGGGCCTGCGATTTTTGCCAGACTGTCGCTGCGGCATCACACTTGTATTTCAATGCCGTCACATGCATTTGGTGAAGTAATTTTAGGAGAGAAGTGTTCTCTGATTAAAAAGTTAAGGAGCATTTTAAGGCATTTAAGTTGCCACTGTTTTTAGACACGTTTGTGGGGATACTGCCGTTTGTTAGTGAGCATTTGGCTCCAGGGCTCATTAATCAGTGCTGTTGGGCCAGGGTCTCCTGAGCCTTCTGGGTTTTGGGAGATCAGCTACTGTAATTAAAGGGATGAAATATATCATGGTCACAAACTTACCACATCAGACAATTGAGGGTTTGGAACTGGTGGAATTAATCTTTTTTATTTTTTTCTTAGGTGTTTAAGATAGAAGTGCTAATGAATGGAAGAAAACATTTTGTTGAAAAAAGGTACAGCGAATTTCATGCCCTGCACAAAAAGGTAACTTCGCCCCCCCCCCACACCCTTTTCTCTATAAGGCAGATGGTGTAACACGAAGCCTACTTTCTGTGGTTCCTGAGAGCTTTAATAGTTCTTGGAACAGGTTGACTTCTTTTATCACGAAGTAAATTTCCTTTTAAAATAAACTGTTCCGTCCTTTCAAGGTGTGCTTTCTGAGTAGGTGGGTTTTCTGTTAAGATCTTTTGCATAAATAGGTGTGTGACAGCAAGCTGTTTATATTATACTGTGCTGGGTATTGTAGGTTCAGAAAGAATAAGACCCAGACCCTATTTTATCCATAAAATACACTTAATGTGTTTTACACAAAGGAAAAAAAAATGATCATTTTACAGGAAGAAATCTATTAAAATCAACTTATACTTACATAAACATGGAAAAAAATATACACGTCACATGTATTCAAGGACTGTTTGGGGATCATGTAAAGGGGGATCATAGCTTCTTTTGAATTATAAAGGCTGCTCTACAAGACTGGTGTTTCAGTCCTCAGATCCCTTTCATTAAAAGCCTCTGATAAAAGAAACAAGAAGGCAAAAGGAATAGCTGAGTTTGGGGAGACATGGTCAGTAAAGAATAGAAGAGGGAATAATTTTTATTTTCTACCAAAATTTAATGTTTTGAAGGTTATAAATTAGTATTGAGGTGATGAAATTACCTTAATAACTAGAAATACCTCATGAAATTGCCTAGAAAATCACCACATATGAGTTAATGCAGTTTTACCATTTTTTCATTTGTATACATATATATTCATATCTGTGTGTGTGTATATATATATATACTTCCTATATATGAATATATATATTTATACACACACATATATAAAATGTATGGCACAGTTCAGTTTCTTCACTTTTGTTACTTTGTTAGGTAAGAAGTTAGTGGAAAGATACTGAGTAAGTATGTTCAGAAAGAATCTATTCTTTTAACTTCCTTAAGGACCGCTTAAATTTTCTGGAAAATGTCAGTGCATAAATGATGTGATAGTGTGCTTACTCTGTATTAAAAGCTCTGTAGCTAAAATTAAAATTTCTTACTTTTTGGTAGTCAGGAGAATAGAGTATTGAGTAAAAACTTTCACAGGTTATATTGAGAAGTGAGTGAGCCTCTATCCCTCTGTTTTCTTTTGAAGAGGAGCTGTCAGTTATCTGTACACTTTTCCATTAGGATGGCAAGGGATAATTTACCTTGAATTTTCCAGTTAAAATTGTGTTACATCCAGGTTTACTTCCAAAAGAAGCAACACAGGTGAAATACAGATTTAGGCTGGGTGTTGCCAGCTGACTTTACAAAAGCCCTACCCCTCAACCCGGGGCCTCAAAGAGAAACAAACATGGAGTCTGGGTCTCACGTCCTTCTCAAGAATTTTTGGCTTTGTTCACTTGTTTATCGAGGAAACACATTCTAGAGAGATTTCTGCTGGGTACCTCATGAAATAAGTCTGTACAATGGGATTAAAACCAGAACTCCTCCCTTCCCCAGCCTCTGATTCCAGAGTCTGGACCAGGCAGCCTGTCACATGCAAGCCTCCTTCCTAACCTGCCAGGTCTCCATTACCCCGACACAGCCCAGCTGTCCCCACCAGATACTTGGGGACCAACTCCACACGAGGCACAGCTGGGTGACTGCCAATTAGGCCCGCCCTGAGCAAGAGGCTGCCCATGCTTCTTACGAGTGGAGGGTGACTCACTCTGCTCTCTTTTCTAATACGATTTATTTTCTTCTGCAGAAGAGGACCCTTTCCCCAGTGATTACAGGCAGTTCTTAGATTCTCACAGTCAAAAAAGATTTCTAGATTTTCTAGGACTCTTCTCTCAACTTCTGCAATTCTGTTAATAATTTTAGCTATTCTTAAAATTATATCATCAAGTCTATTAGAATTAAGAGAGTAGAAATTCTCAGACCTCTCAATTTTGCATGTTTTTGGCAGCCTCATTAAAACATCCTTACAGGGACATAGAGAAAAAAATAACATTGTGGGGCAGAGTTTTAGTTGGCAGACAATAAATCTTGTGTGTTATAGAGCAGAAAGGGGCTGCTAGAAGTCTCCTTTATTTGTCCCATTTGATAACTGTATTAGATTTGATGAAAAGGTAACTTATTTTAAAAGACAATTAAGTACAAATAATGGAAGGGTGTAAAAATAAACATAAATCTGTAATCTTGACTGTAAAGTTGTGTGTTAAGGAGGATTGAAATGGGCAAAAAAATTAATCAGAATATACAAGCTTTGGTGATTACTGCTGCCACCATGTACAACTTTATCCTTTTATTAGAATTTTGGTACCCTAGTTTACATATTTGAATTTTGTGATGTGCTTTGAATGTTCTGTTTTTACATGAAATACCTTCCCTTTAAATTCAAGTTAGATCTACTCCTGTTTAATTTTTTTGAATATTCAGTTATTTCTGCAGTGGATGCCATTTGCTCTGTTGTCAGTGTCCTGATTTCCCTTACACTTTACATTACACTTGTTAAAGTTTTTAGTCAATGTCCCCAAGTTAATTCTAAAATCATATAGGAACTATTAATAAGTGCTTTGTACCTTTAGAATAGTAGTTGCATGGCTCATCTCCATATACCACAAACACACAAAAATGCCTCCTGGCTTGTTGTCAGGCTCATTTTGAGGCAGAAACTAAAACCATTACCAATTTGACAGTTCATCTGGTTGTTTGAAGTTCTTAATGATTACTACTTCTCCCAAACTTTTATAATTTTTGACATTAAAGAATGAAAACAATATTCTCATCCTCTACACTTTTCTTAGGATTCCGTTCTAATTTTTGGAAAAATTCAAGAGTTTTTTTTTTTCTTATATGCTTTATTTTCGTCCCCTCAAGTAAGTTTAGTTTTTTAGATTATAAAGCTAAATCTTGCAGGAAGTTTGGGGACAGGAGAAATAACTCCTTGTTACCAACATATATTTCTTTTTTTTTTTTGCGTTATGTGGGGCTCTCACTGTTGTGGCCTCTCCCGTTGCGGAGCACAGGCTCCGGACGCGCAGGCTCAGCAGCCATGGCTCACGGGCCTAGCCGCTCCGCGGCACGTGGGATCTTCCCGGACCGGGGCACGAACCCGTGTCCCCTGCATCGGCAGGCGGACTCTCAACCACTGCGCCGCCAGGGAAGCCCTCTTGCATTTTGTAATGGAACAAATGCCGCTGTGCTAGTGGGATTCCTTCATAGTGATAATTATGGTGTCGAAGTTAAGTATGGAAGCTCTGGCAGCAGAATGTTCCTGAGCCTGCCTTTACCTCAAGTCCGTGGAGCAAGTTGAGTGATCTTTCCGTGCCTCCAGTTCCCCCGTTTTAATATGGGAACAGTGAATGTGCTAACTTCACAAGACTGTTTTCCAGACTAAACGAAATCGTGTGCATTGCATGGTCAACTTCTAATGATTGATAGCCTTCATTACATATAACTTTTTTTTTTCCATTTTCAAGACTGTTTCCTGTAAGCTAGATTACAAAAGAAGCATTCTCTATTAAAGAGTATAGATATTTTTACAGCTCCAGTTATATATTACCAAATTACTTTTTTCCAAAATGGTTATAGCAGATTTGTAATGCAACCAGCAAGCATGAAAGTATCTCACCAGCTTTGCATATTACCCCCCCCAAATGATATGTATTTAGCAAGCGATATATGTTGCCTTTTTGCCGTTTTAATTGATATTTCTTAAGCTTATGATTGTAGCCCCTCTATTTGGAATTCTCTTTATGTGCTGTCCCATTTTTCTGCTAGGGTCTCTGTTTTTGATCATTAGTTTGCATGGCCTATTAATAAAATACTAGCCGCTTGATGAAGCTGTTTTTCACCATTATGGACTTTTTAATTTTGGCTGTGATATTTATTTTAATTTGCAAGAGTTTTACCTTTTTATGGTCTCTAATATGTCAGTTTCACCCTTTCAGACTATGTGTAAGATTAGTTTTTCTTCCAGAGCTCTGGAAGTATTCGATTTCACTTTCTTTTAGTTTTTCTAGATTGGTACTTTTTGAAGTGTGAACTTTGGGTGACCTGAAGCCGAACAGTATTTATTAAATTGCAGATTCCTGGGCACCACCAGGCATGCTGAATCAGAATCTTTGTGATAGAGCCCAGTAATCTGCCTGTTAAATCAGCATCCCAGGTGATCTTAATGCCTGGTGAAGTTTGAGAATTCTTATTTGTGTCGTTATATTTTTAAAGGCATCTCTTAGACACAACCCTCCCTACCTCCCCCTGCATCACACACTGAAGCCACAAGGTGTGAGACCTTGGAAGTCTTTCCTACCTTTCTCTTATCTTTCACTTCCAGGGTGTCAGCAAGCCCTGTTGATTGATTCTTCCAAACTTCTGTAATAAGCACCATTTAATTTTTCATTTTGTACTCCTACCATCTCAGTCCAGAGTCTTGCTACTTTATGTAAGTATTTCTTTAACTGTTTCTCATCCTTGTCTTCTTATTCATCCTCCACTGCAGGCAATTTTCCTAGAGCACTATGTTCATCTTCATTTTATTGGTCAAAAACCTTGAAATGTGTCTGTATTATCTACCAAATCATGGACATTGACTTTTGAGACCAATAGTCTTAAACTGTGCATTAGTTTTCTATTACTGTTGTAACAAATCATCACAGACTTAGTGGCTTAAGACAACACACATTTGTAATCTTACTCTAAATGTGTCGGCAGGACTATGTTCCTTCTGGGGGGCTTTAGGAGAGAATCAGTTTCCTTGCCTTTTCCAGCCTCTAGAGGCTGCCACCTTTCTTGGCTCATCACCTTCTTTTGTCTTCAGAGCCAGCAACCACATCACTCCAACTTCTATTTCCATCGTCATATCTCCTGTCATCACATCTCCTCTCTCTGACTTGGTCACCTCTGCCTCCCCCTTGAGATTACATTGGGCCTACCTGGATAATCCAGGATAATCTTCCCATCTCAAGATACTTGATTTAATCACACCTGTAAGGCAATGCGTTCACAGGTTC